TCAAAAATAGACAAAAGTCTTACATTCATCCAGTGAACATTAATGTAAATGTCTAGTTAGCATAAATGCCAGTCAGGTGACTGTTGCACAAAGATTGATTTTTATAAGTTAAAATAGAAGTGTCAGAGTTATGAGTATGCACAGTGATGGGATAAAATGTGGCATAATATGGAAACCATTTATTTGCTCTCCTAACATAGAGGTCAAAGGCCAGACTGATATCCAGACCAGCAACCCTGAGCTGGAGGGATGTAGTGTGTGTCTCATCAGTAGTGTGGTAGTTGTATAAGTATTATATACTTAGTTTAAAAAAATAACAACAAAGGCTTCTTGCTGAACAAAGTATGGTGCAGTTTTTTTTATTTCTAGCACACTGTATGCTGATGTTGTACATGTTCAGGGTAATATAAACGTGCAGTGATGTAAAAAAAAAACTTTGTTGGTCTGTATTTTTACTCGCTCTATTTGGTGATGATTTTGTGTGCTCAATTGATGGGAAACCACAGGGAGCTACAAGCGGGCTGAGACACTGACCACAGGCAGCCCGATCCAGACTCAGTGACAGACCTTGTGGTGACATCTGCTTTTACTCAGGGAGAGCACTTCAGCACTTAATAAAGCATGTAATCACACTGTTGTAACTTGGGAGTGGACAAAGCAATGCTGGGTCAATGCTTCATATACTGACTCGTCCGTTTTTTTCAGAAATGTCTGTTGCTGTTTATCAGATTTATCAGCAATTCCATACATTTCGACTCAAATGAAGACAAACAGCTACTTGAAGCCTTTATGATTGATTATAGGTCTTTACCGCACAAGCAAGAAAGCCATTTACAGCAAAATACTACATTAAAGTTGATCTTTTTTCCTTCTTACACCTGCATGTAATTTTCTACATGTAAGTGGGCAGGAAAAGGCACAGAGTTGCAGTCAACATTTCTAATCCCAAATGTAATTTAGGAGGCTAAATGCTGCTTGTCACAACCGACAAAAGGGGGTCTTGTGGGCTTCATGACAGCTGGGTTACAGTTCTTCTTTTTGTTATCACCCCAACACGACATGCCGATGAGGCGGACAGACCGTTCCACATTGCTGAAATATTTTGCCATCGACAGATATATATATAAAAAAATCTCCCAAGCTGTCTCTCAGGTTTCGCACGGACAAAGTTCTACGGCACTTCGGAGTGCACAGGCAGGCTAAACTGGAACACACTTTGAGTGTGTTCTCTGCATCTCTTCTCATATTTCAGCTAAACTGCCTCCTCGCCAGGGCCAAGGAATGCATCAAGCGCCATAAATCAGGAGCTTGATGGGAACTTGGCGGCCGGACAGCAGTGCAGAGAGCTGTGGTATGTAGCTACAGTACTGTAAAGATGTTGTAAGGTGAACATTACCATCTTGGAGGAAGAGAAAAACGAGGGGGGAGGATACTTTGATTCAGGGGAGTTTTGTCCAAATGACAGAGCAATGAAAGCCTGTCTCACCTCCTTCAACCCTTTGCTTTTCTTTACATGTGAATCACTGTGATCACCAGCAGGAATCCAGGCCTCAAACCCCAGATCCATTTTACTTACGCTGTACAGATTGAACTCAGACACAAGGTCATTTATGGTACAAAGTGTACGCAGGTGGGTTTGCCTGAGCTCCGTCTTGTGTCTCTTTCTTGCCGTGGCGACAGAACATGTAGAAAGAGTTCATGTAAAGGAGGCAGCCGGCGGTGTGTGTGTGCCAGGTTTGTTTGTCACATCTCCGCCTGTCTGCGCCTTATGCAAATGGCCAGGGGGCTGGGAGGGAACAGCTCCATGGGAAACTGCTGGTGCTAATCCAGCATGTTGAACAGGGGAGGAGAGGAGCACTTTTCAATAAAGCACCCCCACCCCTCTGTCAAGTCATACACACACAAAAACACACATGTACACACACACACACACACACACACACACACACACACAGCACACACATATGAACGGAGCGTTCTCATCCTATGTGCTTGTATGCTTACGAATAAACATCACAGGGGGTGGGTGGGGGTGTGGGGGGGGGGGCAACACAAAGACGCACACATGAGTTCGCTTCCTCTCTCTCTCTCTCACACACACACAAGCACTGAACACCTGTTTCTTTTTTCCGCACATCCAAACAGACATGCTTTAATATGTGAACAAATCCCACGATCTTAAGACCCACTCTCAATCCGCCGGGTGTAATACCAGGGTGCTTTCAATGAGATAACAACAACCCCTCAGTGTGATCGGCCTGTACTACCACGTAAAGATAGACTAATAACACGCTCCAGCCACAGCCCATGACTTAGACTATGAAATTTATGCAAATTTGTGTGGGAATACACAGAGCTGAGAGTACTATTTAGGACTAGTGCATTTTCAGACAGCCCTCTTTTATTCCCCACGCTCTCTTCAACTACATTTTTGCAAACAGACACGAGCTGTTGTCTGATGTCTTGTGTGTTCCCTCACAAAGGCGAAAGTTCTTCTTCGGAAGAGACGGGCTCACGTGAAATTGTTTTGCCCTTTAGATATCTCCAAATATTAGTTAGTGAAGGAAAATACTTATTCACTTATATGTGTCCTTTAAATACGAAAATACAGCTAGGATGGTTAGCTTAGCTTAGCATAAATACTGGAACCATGGGGAAACAGCTAGCTACAACTAGCTGCTACCCCCCTAAAACCACAACTTGTCTCTTTGTACACTTTGTTTTTTATTTATTTCCCAAGATGTTGAACTAATCCTTTAAGTGGAGTCTTGGGTACTGAAACCTCTTCTTTTGCGGATTTATTTTCAAAGAGAAACATATGAGATTTTTTATCTATTTCAAAAAAGTTAAATGTTTTGTTTTGTTTTTGTATCGAAATCATGTGCTGCACATTGTCGGCACCAAACACTAACGACATAAATCTTTCTCTCAGTCATAGACCAATAAAGAAAATCTGCTCAAATTTCGCTTTAATGACTTCCTGCTAGATAAAGTGCATTACACTCGTACTTTGATGCCAAAAGACGAAAGGATCAGATAAATGAATTACCTTATTCCAACAGCGCACGAGATGAATATTATACTCTCCCATAAAACTTGGGGATGTGACAGAATTCTTTGTGCTGGCATTGGCTCGTGTCCAACAGCCCAGTCCAGCCTCTGCACTCACAGGGTTGTGTGAGAGTACTCACTGTGCCCCCCCCATCCTCTCTTTGGTATGCAGTCAGATGCATGTCGGAGAACCACAAGGCGCCGTTACCTCTCCTGAATCCATGAGGGTATAGAGGAAGGAAGAAAAAAAAACTGGACAAACACAAAGGCAATCAACAAATCCCCTTTGCTTGAGCCCTGCGAAACATAATAGGGCCAAATCATCATCTATTTAGCTTCGTCAAATCACTGACAGCAGGCCTTGATAAAAGAGAGTGGAAAATATGTAGGGTACAAGATGCTGCCAAGACCCTCACTGACTAGAGCCCCCTATTGAAGCCAGATGTTGACTCAACTGGCCAATTTTGATAAATGGCATGATGATTACCATTATAGATCGGGTAATTTTATATCAGCGTGCCACATAGTTGGTCCTCTTTAATGATAGCCAAATGAACTCCGGTTTGTGCCCCAGGCCAGGTGGGCTTTTCTGTGCTCAATATGCCGCATGCACTGCCCCAACCGACCATTAGGAGGGCGCCCCTGGTCTTGTGGGTGCTTGGACTCGTGGGCCGCTGACGGTGCCCGTTGTTGTCATCAAGTGTCCAGCTGAGCCCTGAGCCCATCGCACAGGCCCGTAATGAGACTTAATTGCCGCTTTAGACGGACTTTTGCCTTTTTCAATGTCCTCAATCCCATTAGAAAGGCTTACGAGATCAGAGCTTCATGTACTTGACACAGTGACCCAGATGGATGTTACCTTGCATGACCCTCCAAGGCCCCAGCAGACTGCTGTGGTCCAAACAATGTAGTCTGTCTCCCATTCCTCAGGGATCGGGGTATTACAGTAGATTAGCTGGAGTAATACCACGGTGGAGCACGGGTATGTTGGGTCATGGGATCGCTCCAGGACATGAAATCCAATGTTTACTTTCAGGGAAAACTGTCACAGACACACTTCTGAGAATCAACGAAATCCAATTAGTTTAATACTTAAAGTCAGGTTTCGTCTTTCCTGATTTGGCAATGTCCTCATTCCACCTCGGCAGCAATTACTCACCTTGTTTTGCTCTCTCAGAGACTTTCCTGAGTTAGGTGATCCTGAACGTTACAGCCAGTTATCACTCTTATACGAATAGTCAGTTCCTCTCATCTGTTTTAGGCACTGTATGGAAATAACTGGGTTGAATCTAAAAAGAAAAAGGCAAGACCCTCGCAAGCCTTATTATTGTAACCCTCTTCTCTTAACTTGGAAGAAAAAATCTCAAAATAATATATTCATGGGAAACATTCAACGCTGTGAATATTTTATAACCAGACTCTATTTTGAAGAAAGAGCTGCTAAGTAAACATGTATTTGACAGCACAGGTGGCAGCTCTGTGGCTTCAGATGGACCTGAGTACCACAGAATTCCACTTATAAAAGTAATAAAAATGAGATGACGTTACGGCAGGATATCGCCAAATCAATTACATGATGCCTGAATTTCAAGGCAGTGTGTTAGAGACGTTTCTTCCAACAAGCTTTCGCAGAGCGCGGCGTTAAATATCAAACCCTTTGTGATTCGGCCGTTTTATTTTGATGTATTTATTCGAAGATACATTTCACATGGGAGGAATGAACCTGGGATTAGGCCACAGACCTACTCTCCACTCCAGCAATTCAATGATTTGACAACTTTCAGCCAACTGCTTGAACACAGAAATGTGACAGTTTATACTGAACATCCCACATAGACTGAATCTGATGTCAGACCTCAAACAGGAACTTTTATATTTAGGCCTCAAATTGCAATCATTCAAAATCACATATAAGAAAACAAACACAAGAAAGAGCCACGGCAGAAAAGTCATTTTTGTAGCATAGCTCATTTTATTGTTTAAACAGTTTTGCATAGGAAATATATCCACTTCCAGTAATTGACTGCAGTAAAAACAGCTGCTAGCAGTATAGGCTGGATATAACAGTAACAATCACAAAAAGTTGAGCCTTTATTTACACTGATTTTAATCTTGTGGCAATTTTAGCCCCTGCACCAAATGTAACCAGCTTGAAGGCATCGCCTAATGCTCGGCATTTCTAAAATCAATAAAAAAAGGGATATCAAGGCCTTCGCTATACAGTTCACAATGGACACCTGTGGCTCCTAAACTGTCAATGAAAAGATAAAAAACAAAAAAGGTTTCCAAAAAGTCCTCTAAAACGTACATTCAGATACATACATAGACCTTTGCACACACTTGCAGTGTAACTACGATCACTACTGGAGACTGTTTACATATTGTTTTGTTGGTGTTGTTGTTGTTGTTCGTTATATATAATTCCACCATGATTCATGAAGTCGAAATGTGTGCGCAGAGGGACGTAAAAGTGCCACAAGACCCAAAAGATAAACCAGCCCTGCAGAGAAAACTGATGAGTAATCTTAAGAAAAGACATTGGTTCATCCTTTCACTGCTCTTATTGTAGCACTGATCCCCACTGCCCCTCCCGAAAAGAAAAAAAGAAGAAAAAGAAAAGATTTCCTCTCACATTTTGAACAAGCTTGATGTGGGCATTGTGTGCTGACATAATTAATAAATCGCAACAAACAAAAAAAATATCAAAAAAGTAATAAAGAGCATATTTCTAAATGAGTTTGCAACATTCGGTTCTGTGTGATGGTGTTTTTCTTGTCACATATGAAAGTAAGTCTATCACATTTTACAATTATATACAATAGACAGCTTGAACAGGCACTGCATTGCTATCTTTTTGTCTTCTTTTGGTGAATATTACATCCTGTAGAAATGCTGGTTTTTATGTTTTATAGTAACCTGATGCCAAGTGACTAGCAGCCAGCCAACATATATGGAAGGTGTGTATTGCTCATGTAGGATGGAAATGAAGTTCTAATCTTTTCCTCTAAGTCTGCATGCATTCGCCCTCTCAGTCCCCACAGAGTGCGTGACATTCTGATAAAAGGAAAATCGCACATATTGCGTGAGTGCCATAAAGTTGTCCTGTTTCTCGATGATCGTAGTGATCAACGACATAATACTTTCTAAAAAAAGGTTGCTGCGAGTGTCAAATCTGACTTAAATACGGCTCTTTCTGGTGGGTGGAACATTGATTACAATTTTGTAAAGTTACAAGAACGTTTTGACAGACTACAATCACACCCTGTGTAGCAATAGAAAAACTTAACCAATGCGCAAATACACTAGCTATTATCAACTGGAAGGTACAGTACCCTATTCTGAAGCACCTGCAGTTAAAGTAATGTTTGTTTGTAGTGTGAATGAAGTGTTTCCCAAATCCTATCAGGCATTGACAGCATGTGGAATGTGCAAAATGAGCAATGCCTAGATGGTCTTACTGAATTTTAAAGAGATATTTCAGAGAGTCGTCTGCATATGAGCAAAGCAGACGGCTCAAAATTGGCCGGCCCAAATCCGATCTATGTCGTCTTGCAACATTTCCTCTGAAAAGAAAGAAAAAAAGAAACCGTCTCATAGATTAATCGAGGAAGTTTGTCACTACGGATTTTACCCTGCTTCTCGCTTTAGGTCAGGTGCAATCTGGGGCCTTTTCTACTGGTTAAGTGAATACACCCCCAGCTGCTACAAGAAACACACTCACACCAAGATCTTGTTGGACAAGAATTCACACCCCAAAAAAAAGAGTTAAATCATATCACACTTGCTATGGCCACGCTAAGGGAAGAACAACAATTCAAATATTAATGAAGTGTTTCCCAAATGGAAATATCTAAGCACTAACCAAGATCAGAAATAATAACAAGATATAATAAAAAAAAGCCTTCATTGTTGTTTTTTAATATTTATGTCTGTATAGAATATTTCCCCCCTTTTTTACTTTACATACAGGAACACAACTGATGAAAACACTTTAGACTCTACTAATTGGGAAAACCTGGAGAGTTCTAACTCAAATCCAGCCTCCAAAAGAAAAACCCAAATTAAATTTGCTTTTTTTTTTTTTTTTCCTAAAATGGAATTGACTTATTTTCCCCCAGAATTGAAGATTTACAAATAAGGGCTTAAGAGGAGAACTCTCGAGAAAGTTTACAGTGTACAAACTCCTGTCCCATGGCAGGCTTTTTTTTTTTTTCAATAGAAAGACCCTCATCTTCTCTCATTGTTTTGTGTCAGAGGCACTCGATCACACATCCAGCTCACAAAGTCACACACACACACACACGCGCGCGCGCATGCATACGAACGCTCATGCTACCAAAGCAGAGTTCAAGCCCACAGACTACTGCTATTGACGCACTCAGGATATTTACCTTTATGTACAATCTCCTATTCAAATAAACACCAACAGCACAGTGACCCTGACACATTTATCACTCACACACACACACACACACACCCACTCACAAACACACTTGGGGACAATGCACGTCAGTGGGGTCTCCAATGGCCAAAGGCTAAAAAGCACTTGTAGTTTTTCTTTTTAAAAGAACAAAAATAAAAGAATAAAACAACAAAAGAAGACAGAACAGTGCACATAGAACGGGGTGACTTTTTCAATTTGTTTCTCTGCATAAGATATCTGGGTGAAGACGGAGAGACAGAGCTTGACTTGAGGATTACTTTAAAAAATGTTTTTCCGCTTCTTAGCCCTCCGCTAACTACAGCGGGAGAGCTCCCGGTACTACCGTCTCTCCGAGGGGAACATTTCTTTCACGATTGTGGGGAAAGAGTGCAAAAGGTGTCATAGCAGCATTGGAGGTGCTGCTCTCACTGTGAGAAAAGTCGTATTGATGTTGTCTTTACATGAAAAATGGTAAGATAATGATTATATAAATAATGCCCAGTAATACGCCTGAGAGATTTAGTTTAAGACTAGGTTCAAAACACTGAACGGGGGAAGAAGACGATTGCCTATGTGCTAGTTAAGTGCTATTTTTTTTTCTTCTAGTGGATTCTATTTAAGCTTCTACTGGGCCACTGGACAATACCACGCTTCTGTGGCTCTAATATTTACTTCAACATACTCTACTGGGCTTTCTGCTGGGGGAAGTGTCTCAGGAATTGACATATGTGCACATCGTATATACATTTATACAAATCTACTCCTTATAAAATACTTTCTAAAGGCTTGCTTGAGCCTGTCTGGAACTGATTTGGACAGGTCTCACTAGCATTAGTCGGTGTGTGATTGTTGCGCAGGTCACAGGCCACTTCACTGATGTGTTTAAGGCATCTACTTGGGAATTGCATTCGGTGACGCTTAGAATAGTACGCCGTGGTATTCGATACGAGCGTGCAACAGTAATTGTCGTCAGTTGCGGCTTTTCGAGGGATTTATGAGAGGATGGGATTCTACGCAAAAATGATTCCTTAAAATGATTGTCATACTCAAGTCAAGCCGTCTCTCCTCTGAAAAAGAATGAGCTCCTTCAAGGTCACATGCTAGCACCCCAGGTGGAAAGTTGAAAGTAAGAGTCACAGTCGACCAATCAGTGACTTTGCAGTCGTAGAAAGACCAAGGGTGCATTTTTACTTCTGGAAGAAATACCGCCCCTCCCCCTAAAACTCCCGAATTCAAAAATACACTGGGACACGTCTCACCGTCATTCGGTAGGCCTATATGCTAAAGAAAAAAAAAAGACCTTGTCATAAACTGCATAGAAAGCAGTCCCCACTTTGGTCAATAAAAAAGGAAAACACCCACAACAACAACAACAACATCATCAACAACAACAACAACGACAAACAACGATATCAACAAAATAAATGCATTACAATATTGTCTATCTCCAAACTAGCCTCTAATAATTGACGCATCTATAAGCACTACCTACATAGGCAAAACTTGGTATTGCATAATTTTCATAATTCTGAATTCCACCCTCCACAATAGTAATTGGAAGATGAACAAAATGAGCATTGAAAAACAAGGAAAACAAAAGATGACAGGTTATTAGAAAAACCACCAAAATACTGAAAGAAAAAAAAACGCTGGTTGATTACAAACTTTAGAACGGCAACTACACACAGCCTTGATATGCAATGCAACTGTGAGATAGAGTAGTACGTAAAGTTAAAAATCAATAATTTCATTCAGAGTACAAAACAATTCTTATCATAAAATTGTTAATTTCTTTCTATAATGATAAATGCAGCAAAAACAAGTGTAGTGATGTCTCTATATTCAAAGGCAAGGCACGTAATGTGGACTATATGTCATCGTGCAAATTAAGAGTATTGGAGAGATTTTCCTTGTATAAATACGTCCGGACTGGAGAGGCAATGGCTGTGAACATGCCGTGCACAATTCTAGATTTCAGGGATTTGCCACCACCTGGATTCATAATTTCAGTTTTCAACCTCTTCCACTGCAGAGTTATTAACCCTTGCACAAACTGTAGCTTTATACAGAAAGCCTACTGTACATTTGCATGAATTGTACATTTCCATGGATAAACACTTTGCATTCCTTATATTTTTTTTGTAAACACAAGCTTTAGAAGCTGATGGCCCAAATGCATAATGCTCTTGATATTATCGTGAACATTTACAAATAAAAAAAAAAACATGAAATGCCATTTTTATACACTATGTGTGTCTCGCTTCTTTTCTTATGTTCGGTTATTTTTTTTTACCTAAAATAAATTAAAAAAAACTCCCCATAATGATGGGAAGGGCTCAAAAGAAGTGCTGGTTTTGCTCAGCGCTGAACAGGTAGCTTAGTGCTTGCCTTCAACTGCCGCCTGATGTTGTTCTCATGTGAGAAGACGGATTATGTGACTGAAATCAAATTCAAATGTTTTCTTCAACATTTTACCCATAAAACCATTTAATATTTATCCCCCATTCCTTTAGAGTCTTAGGGCTGACAGACTGATAGCTTCCCTTCAAAAATTCAATTGCACTTGCCTCTATCGAGATTTTCTTATTCTCCGTCTTTTTAAATCCTTTTGTAAAGGAGTTGCAAATTCTTTAATGAGGGGTCCAATCTCAAGCCAAACGTTTAGTGTTTTTTGAAAACCGCACCGAGAGTTCTCAACTCTTTCCGTAAGCATTTACGTTAATTCTTGAAGTAAGTAGTAGTTAAGAATAAACAAAGTCAACACATTTTTTTTCTGAACAAAGAGTCGTATCACAGTAAACTGAAATCAAAATCAAAAGAAACACTCTGAATTCACAATTTTTTTTTTTGTTCCTATGGTGTACACAGTGAATCGTTTGACGAGGGAAAGCCTCTTTTCAAGAGGTCTGATCGGAGAGCTTCGAGTCTCGGAAGCCATCCACCAGGCAGAAGGTGTCGATACGCAGACCTCTTCACTTGTGTGTGTGTGTATGCGAATCAAGATTGTACAACTTCCCTCAACATGGAAAAATAGTAGGAATTGCCGCTAAGAGACTAGAGTGTCATGCAATAAAACATTAAGGCATCTATACATCACAGTATTTGAATGGATTGAAAAGTTCTGCAAACACAACAACTGACTGGTGGGTGGTGGATGTGTGGGCTGGGCAGGGCGAGGAGTCAGCAGACCTGAAGCTTTTCCTTTTTTTCTCTTTCCTCTGAACCGACCCTCTTCTTCACTTCGCGGCCAATGTCCTTAATGGGAAATGGAACGGGAGGGGGGGGGGGGGGGGGTCATGGAAGGGACGAGACTGGGAGGGGGACGATTGTGCAGCTCGTGCTGCTTGCTGGTTTCATCCATGGCTGCGGACACCTTTAGTGCTAACTGGGCACCGCCAACACCCCCGTCAACGCATTCACCCGAGGGGGGAGGGAGTGGGGGTCCTCCGGCCTCCGTGTGTTCAGTTCCCTGTCTCAGCGGGGACCAGGGGCTCACCAATGATGTTTATGCTGTAGTTCTGGTGGACATTTGTTGGCAGAATCGGAGTCCCGTTCGACACTTGGAATGGAACTAAGCTCGCCCAGGTACCAGGACTGCGGAGAGAGAGAGAGAGAGAGAGAGAGAGAGAGGGAGGCAAAGAGAGAGAAGGAAAAGACACAGAGAGAGAAGGAGAGATTAGTCACATGCCATTAACTTGTTTGTGCAGTTTAGTCAAAATCAGATTCTTTCTGTCAGTTATCCTGAACACTGCTTCGCTAACAAACAGCATCACTGCTCTGCTGACAGTCATCAAGGCTCAAGGTCTTACTTTTGTTTTGTTCAGACAGAAGATGGGCGAACAAAAAGAGAAACGGCAGCACTAGCTCATTAATTTAAGCTGAGGTGATTCCACTTGATTCCGAGTGAAGGACATCATGTGAGAGGGCCGTGACGCAGGCCCTCCTCTCTGCATTGATGGCAGTATAGAAAAGCACGAGGGGGGAGAGTGCTATTGGTGGTGGTGGTGGTGGAGGAGGAGGGGTGGGGAGGGGAGGGGGGGTTGGGGGTCCCCACACAAAGCTGTCCCATCCCTATTCATCTCACGCTAATGGCAAAACAACACAGTGATTGTTCCTGGGGAGCAACGGTGCTAACTGAAAACGCGAGCGGGAACAAACAGCATGTTGTTCCCGTGGGGTGCTGCTCTACGTAGATGTCAGATAATTAGCCCACCACCCCCACCCGCTTCTCCCCCGCAGGCCCCCAGTGTGCGCTCATCTGACACCCTCCCACCTCTCACATCACCCGCTCTAAGTCTGAGAGTACCTGTGTCGCACATTTTCGACCATATTCGCCCCGGTACCTAACTTTTTGTTTATCGACGTGCTGAAGTGCAGCAACAGCAGTGGATAAAGTCCTGGGGGAATCAAGACAGGATGTAGAAGAGAAGGGAAAGAAGGATGACGGTGGGACGAAGACAGTGAGGAAAAATGAGGTGGAGAAAAAAAAGAAATGTTTGGGGAGAAGATGGATGACAAGGAGGAGAGTCGTTTTCAAAAGTAACAAAAACGAACAGGACAAGGCTTAAGACTGAAGATGCTGCTTCACAGACGTGATTCTTTGTGAAGCATCATCACAGGACAACACTGTCTGCGTTCATGAAAGCCACTGATCAACCAGTCTGCATTTTATACAAATCACTAGTCGCTGCTCTTTTACTTGAAACAATGGAAGTGCAAATTCAATTCACCTCGTGGCCTAAAAGAGTCAGTCTCTCCAGTAACGATTCAAACAAAGAAAGAACGAGAAGAGACGATGTATTCAAAAATAACAACAAACATCGCTCGAGTTTCAGATTGGGTTTGAGTGCGCAAAGAGTTAAAAACAACCTCAAGGCTAATCCCCTCTAGGAGTTTTTCCCCCTGTCCAGCCCGTCCTCATGCTCTCCTCTCTCTCCTGCTTTCGTCCCTCCTCCTTCTCTCTTTCTCCCTGCCAAAAATCATCCGACAGGAAAGGGGGGATTAAGTTTTTCCTACCTTGCTGAACAAAGAGCGCACAGAGTGGCCAAGGGGCTGCAGCTTTCTCGCTTTCACGTTTTGCTTTCTTTCTTTCTTTCTATCTTCCTCCCTCACTTCTTCCATCCCTGTCCTTACGAGACTCCTCTCAGGTAATGGCTAACATTAGGGGGACCACACAGCTACAAAAGCGGACTCGCGGGCCTTTGTGCACACTAAACCGGCAGATCGGTTTTAATCTTGTTAAAATCGATGGCTGTCAGTCCGTATCTGCATCCCATCACCTAAAGCTGCGCTGGGCAGGAGTTTTATGTAAAGAACTTCTCTACTATCAGGCTCAATCACAAAGTAGGGGCTGGAATCCTCCCGTCACTATTAATTGAGACTTGCAGATTTGCCTTTTTTTTTAGCGTGACTGAACTTTGACTACAAACTCTGTCTCAAAATGCAGCAAGTGAGGGCTCCATCCAAAGAAAGCCAGATCTTTCAATGATTGATATTTTGCTTCTTGTGCCTTTTTAAGTTATTTGATATGATGCAATCACACACAGGCCGTGTTGAAAGTGCATTTTTTGGTGCCAGTTCACAGGAATTCTGGGTGTTGTTCCAATTTGTCAAGCAGCTCCCTTTCGCTGTAATCTCTGCCTGCCTAGATGGTAAACATTTGCTTTAAAATGCTACTATTTCCATATATTTTGTCTCCATCCAAGTTGTTGCTTTATGTTCCCGCACTCCAAGCAGCTCTGGATAAGAAAAATCTGACCTCGATTGCTATATTTCCTTAGGTAACCTTCAAGATGGCCTCCCCTTGCCTTGTCCAAGCTCCCAAATCTCACTAATTCTACTCCCTGCCAGCACAGCCCGGGCATACAGCGTGCTTCGTTTAAGGATTAGCTCCCTAAATTAGATTATCTAATGGCATCTTAATGGATTGCTGACCCATTTCCTGCACAATGGCAACATGCGAGTCTGGCAGCGTTTTAATTTGGGGGCTAGTACTGAAGAGGCATAGCGGAGCGCTCCGTTTAAAGGGCAAGCGAGATAAAAGAGAAATCTGACTGATTCCATCTATATGTTGAATGGTTTTACGTGAATAATCCATCATAGAGGGGAAAAGAAAAATAGAATGGAATTACCATCCCGTCTTTGTAACAAAATTAACTAAATTCAGTTGGGATCTATTTTATCTGTGCTCATTACTGTACACTTGCATGTCGAAATGAGGAGTGAGCTGCTGTGCGAGTAAAGTAAGAGACCTCGCGTTGCTGCAGGGGACATTTTCTCTGCTACCTCCGCTGGTCTATTAGGAGGCCTATTGAAGGGGGTTCTGCTGTGTGCATGTGTGTTTGTAAAAGAGCTTGTAACTTCAGCGGGCACACACTGCACACACACACTCACACACACACACACGCACACACACACACTCTCTCATACACAGATGATCTACACCTCCATGGAAAAGGGGAAAAGGGAGACGTAACAGGAACAAGCTTAGCTCAGCTTGCTCGCCCTGCCATGGTGGAATGGTTCAGGTTTTTCCCCCAGAGAGGGAGAGATACAGTATGGAGGCAAGGGGGGGGGTGAAGGGGGGGGGGGGGGGGGGACTTTCTGTAACTTTAAGTTACCGAGAGTAAAGCCCGTCTTTAGCAGAAAGTCAAACAAAGCTAAGCTTGTTAAAATGTGCAAAGTAAAACATCCTCGCGTGGCTAAAAAGCTGACCTGAAATGACTTCAGTTATTCTACATGGTGGCACTTTATTTGTTCTAATTACCTTCATCAAAAGGTGTGTTATGAAACGAGATTGGTTGGGTGTGAATCCAAGAGGAAAGCTTTGGAATAAAATTCAAATTTGGAATAAATAAAGTTCGACACGTTCACACCAATCTCTTCAATATATATTATTCTGGGGGAAACTGGAAAATGATGTCGCAGAGTAGAGACAAACTAAAATAGGAAAAAAATACAACAAAAATAAAAAAGCAATAAATTATAAATTACTGGGATAATAATACCACTTTAGTCGTAACACAGCCACAGATCATACAAATTAGATTTTTATGTGAATTTATATGTGCATTTCTAAAATTGAGAAAAGCTGTCATTATATGCTGTTATCGTTTGAAGTTTGTGCGTGTGTCTGTGTGTGTGTGTGTGTGTGTGTGTGTCTGTGTGTGTGTGTGTGTGTGTGTGTGTGTGTGTGTGTGTTCGTGTGGTGTAAGAGAGACAGAGAGACGACATGAAAGAATGAAAAGGTTACCTTTGCCAAGTAATCCCCAAAGTGTCGTCAGTGGCACTGGGGCCATAATGCCTGCCGTTTTGAGTCACGCTCCAGTCACACTTCCTCAGCTGTCAATTGAAACCTAGCAGTCAGTTCACTGGGCCAAGACAACTTTCACTTCAGATCACACTACAACTCAACACTGTATACACAAATGCATGCAGAACAGCCTAGAGCAGGAGCAGCAATTATTCAAAAAAAACGAGTCCTAGCTGCTACTGACAATGTAAAAATAGTGGAATTCAATATTTACTGGGGAAAATAACAGTGAAATCAAAGCTATGGATAAAACAGACAGAAAGAAAAACGCATGCAATCACAGTTAGTGGTGACAGCTAACCTGGAAGTAAAAAAACAAAAAAACTGAGTTAGTTAGTCACAAGTGAGTGGCATCATATTGGTAGTGAGGGGTTACTTGCATTTGTAAGATGGTTAGCAAATGAAGCCATGCAATCCACTGGATGCATGCACCCTGTCGATAATCATCGCTCCACTGTAAGTGCACTTTTGGATTGAGGAAGGAGTAGGCATGCCCTCAAGCATGCAGACTTTTTTCATTAGCTAAACTGTTTGTATTGATTAGGGGTCAAAATTACACTGAACTTAACCAGCACACTCACACAC